GTGCTTAAATTTTTAGTGTCTGATACCATTAGAGTACATCGGCGAGGAACTATCGATGCCACATAGATGAAGTACTGCATAGGTACCTTAGTCTCCGCCGTCTTTGCCCCACCGTTCCCCAGACGGTCTTTATCTCGGACCCCGTCATTTGCCGGTCAACGGGGGATTATCAACACCGCAATACTACCTACTATTGGAAATCTACATACTGGGTTCAATCTTTGACAAGAGCTGAAAGACGTTTGCTATGTAACAAGCCTCGCAAATTCGATCTAGACTTGGGTATTTTAGGTATTCATACAGTAGCATGCTTTCATACATAAATTCTTGATCGTGGCTTTGTCACAAAAGCACATCATTCTAATATGTCTCAGCCCTTCCATGTCATAATAGCCACAAAGTCAATTTAAAGTAAGACGAGCCAATTATTATTTTTTATCACCGCCGTATTATATCATCATACTCCAAAACCGTTTGCTTATACCTATTAACTAATACGCAATACTTAACGGCTACGCGCATTCGGATTATACCACATCCGCATGTATGTTGCGTCTGATGATCCAATGTAAGTGACTTTGTTCACTTCGTATTATATCTACTATGTACTAAAACATTTGAAATATTATACATACCTCTTACCTGGTTAGATATTATAAAAACCCAATCGACTTGATGGATGCTACGATTCGATCTTATCAGCGGGTATGACCCGTTAAAGTATTGTATTGTACCAAACCATCAAGATATGGATTTGTTTAGCCCACGCTAGTAAAAGACACCGAACCGAGAAACGCTCGGATACATATGACTTATGCATAGTGTAGGTACCTTATTAGAAGTGGGTTGCCAAGAGTATATTTTGTGAAAATCTTAACATTATTAAGCTTCAACCAATCAAAAGGCTTTCATTCGTCTCATTCGCCCAAAATAGTAAAAAGTCCGGTGACTTATTCACCCAACTTATCAGTCCGACCGATGCAAGTAGGCAGGCCGCAAAACGATTCGAGAATATTAAGGAGCCGCACACCTCCCGAATGCAGACTCGGGGTCTTCCAACTCTCCGACAGCCCGCAACCATAAAAACCGACACCCCTCGACTCCCCCTCCAACATCATGAATGACAGATCTTACCTACATATTTAAGCATCATAAAGAAGGTATGCCAGAACATTCTACATACGCACACTATATGCATAAATAGTCCAATTATGTTAGCCAAGCCAAAGCACAGCGATGTCCATAAAGTATTTATGTACTGTGGCAGAAAGGCGTCAAAAAAAAAAAAAAAAAAAAAAAAAAAGCTGGCGCATTTACAAGGATAATCGTTTTAGTAGAGGTGCGCCACCTTTTTTGACGCCTTTTTGTGTGGATATTAGGTTATGTTTATCTCCGATAGATCTGGACCTAGATCTCGGTGCGCTTCGGGGTCCTCATATATCCGCACCCCGATACCGAATTACTCTACTTACATAAATGTAAGCCGGCTTTGTTACATAAATCGCATTTTGAAATTGTCGCCATCGTTACGGAGGTATTCGAAATATACATATACGCTCAAGGAATCATGTCATATCTCGAGATCTCGTTAAGGATCACGCGTAGATGTATTATGTAGGTACCCAAGACATGATTCAATATTATCTGACAGCTGCACACCCCTCACTTGGCAAGATTCAAGATTCACAACCAACAAAAAAAAAATCAATCTTATTTTCTAGTAGGTACTGTGCAATTTACATACGCTGTGATGTATCTCTACTATGTACTAGTCGATCGCTCAGAATAAGGGGGATCGAGGGGTTTGGGAAGGACGACTGGCCTATACCTGTGCGTCGTCCGCGAATCGGGTTTGATACCTCGTAATCGGTGCCTCGTACTCGGTACTCCTCACTACCGGGTATCATTATCTTGGCTCCAATAACATTGCGCTTATGCATATCGCAAGGGTTGTAGCGCATCCGTGTTGTTGGGAATCCTACATCAGACAGAACATGGCAGTTCTAGCGTTGCCCCCCGAACCTATGCCTCATAGCAGCATGTTCATACGCGCCATTAACAGATTCCTTACTTTTGCTGATGTGATAAAGTGTTCCCTTCTTCCGAAAGCCGGTGATCGTCAGTGACGAATTATGGGGGTGAGATCTGGTCAAGTAGTTGACCCTGGGCCTATGTATTTACACGTGCCGTGTTAGTCGGTCAAGTCGGTATGTGAAATCAATTCGTCGAAATTCGACTTGGTCTCCCAGGAACACAGGTACGGATCTGAACCCTTCTAGGTTTTTGGGAATTCAATAGGTCTACAAAAGTCATGAATCGAATTCCAGAGAGTTCCAACGAATCGATCCTAGTGTTATTATAAAATTGCTAGTTTTACGTCCGCTTTTGGTTGCTGGGGACTTCGCCCTCAAAAAAAAGATTCCCTTGCTTTACAAGCTTCAAGTGACTGTGATATCTATCTACCATGCGCACACTTGCATAGCTAATCTCAAGGGCCTGTCCCTACGAAGGAAAGTCATATAGAGGGGCCACATTCATGGCCAAGGGAGGCGTTCCTACGACCATAATGTCGGGACACATTTATTTACTTTGAGGCACTACTGAACATAGTATGCTTTATCAAGTAGAAGAGAACTGAGAAGTGATAACATTAGTATGTCGCCCATTCCCCGGCACTCACTTAGCGGTCTCGTTGTATTGTACCTAGCAAATAGGACAACTATTTCGCTTATGGGGACCTCAGATGAGAAGGGTTTGGGTGCCCCTTTTCATTAGCGCAGATGTTTGCCTAAGATGATTAGGATCACAATTTCTTATCCACGTTTGTAAGGTAGCGGTGGACTAGGTGACGCGTTTCTCCTTGATGTGTTGATCAATATCTAATGCTCTTTTCCTTACCCATATGTACGTATAATGCAGAGAGGGAAAGTATGTACATGTAGCCTCGCTAACGATACCCATCACGACGATGGTTCTCGCTACTACAACTGTATCCGCCTATCTTATCTCGAGATAGACCTACATATTAGTAAACATTTAGAATCATAATTCGGGATCCCGGATGTTCTGTTAGACACAGAGCTGACCAAGCTATACCAAGGCTAAGAACCCCGTCGAAAGAAAGGGGTCTTATAAAATTCACTACTTCGGGCTTCACTCTACGCCGGAACACCGAGTTTATTCAACCCAAGCTAGGATAAAAATAAGCCTAAATTTGTACGAATCATGCTGCCTAGCTCTAGTTAAGAAATCCTAAAGATAGCAAACTCATCCACTACACATTATCAGTAAGTCGTAATCATAAGGGTATCAATAGGCATGAAACCCTTCCCAAAGATAATCCCGCTTCTCATTCTCCTAGCTTTCCTCCTAGGTGTACTTAACGTAGAGAGCTTGGTTTGCATTAAAACACTATGGATACGCAGGAATCGCGAACCAGAACAAGACCACGCCGATGATTGGCGAATATTTTCGAGTACCGTAATGTAGCGGAGTGCCACGATCCCCGTCGTATTGGGGAGCCTATCTGTAGACCTAGTTACATGTCGGTGAAGATAAACTACCGGCTACCGCGATGGGGCCGAACGTTGAAATAGGGGTAATAGAGAGGCTGAGGTGGCCCATATGAAGATGAAGGTTTTAGTTCTACAGAAGTAAAGTTTCATGCTTTATTTTTTTTTATAAAAGCGGTCGGCTCTTTGTACATGGAAGTTTGTTATGATTATATTTATCTTATATACTAGCTTAATAAATGTCAAGAAAATAGAACCAATATCAAAACTATAGGTGCCTATCTGGGTACCTAGGTAGGTATACTTATGATGTTCATCTGATTAAATTAGCATTGCCTCTTAAGCCATTTAGAGACTTATTTACTGACCGTTAGGTGCGATGTATGTACGCAGCTGATGATGATATTCTAGTGAAGCTAAGAGAGCACTTCCCGGGTCTTCGTCACTCTAAACTTAAATAACTCAGATATGTCACTTAGATAACCCCGACTATCTCGGCGAGTGTCTGTCTATTAAGCATCAATATTCAGATGTCTTCCAAGTTTTCAGGTTTGCGAGCTGCAAATATAACTAGCCACAGGAAATAGTCACAGCTCCGGGATATCCGCATAGATAGATTTGGCGAGTCCATGATATATCGCACTCAGTTTCACCACCTTTGGTAGGTATAGAATTAGTACGCCCCTTATGAGATACCGCCAATTTGGTCCTTCCAACTTAATACTTCGTATTTTCTTAGACCACTTTCTTATACGTACCTACGTATTGTTGTATGAAGCTTATTTAATGTCTATGGTCACATTGAGTGGCTTTCATCTCTAGTAAATGCTAAGCGATACAATTATACTAATCTAGGGGACTTGGGCAATTTGCTTCACATTATTTAGTTAGAGTTATACGTATGGCTAGCTATCTTATGAGCTCTAGAATTCACGTATATACTATCCTTCGACTGGATCTTCCGTCTCAAGTAGCCGACGGCGGAGGTTCCCACGAGTAATAATACGTGGAGACTTTGACTTTTTAAAGGCGAATGTGGCAATATAAGATATCATCAAATTCTCTTTACTGGGAAATTTCTCAAATGTTACTACGACTTAGATTTAGATATTAGACCTATAAGCGCCTGTTTACCAGGCTTCCCACTTGGGGCTATTGGGACCGAACCTATCGCCGTAATGATAACCGGAACTGCGGCAGGACTGACTTTCTCCTTGACCAACTCCCTAAGGGTACTAAGATCGGGGACACGATCTTTAACTATTGTAATAAAGGCGGTAGCGGCCTCGCCCGTATTATTGTTTGGAATACTCATGACATACGCGGCGTCCACGTCCGGGTGAGATAAAAGCGTATGCTCGATAGCGCTGACGTAGAATACGTTGGCATTGATGATAACAATTCCCCGCGCCCGTCTCGTTAGATATAAAAAGCCCCGGATGTCGAGTGAGCCCTATTCTTGTACCTTGTTGGGCTTATTTTGCTGCTGGCGAAAGTAATAACTTGGCCCGTTACTGCACCCTTCCGTCGTAGCACGTGTGGTGTTGTTAGGCTTGAAGAGGGCCGCAAGTATACAAAGATGGGACCTTGGAGAGCGGAATAGTAATCTCATCTGCCAAACGATTCGACTCTTGGTGTATTTTCGACTTGAACTTTGAGGCACACTAGATCAAATAAATATCAACCTTCTAAGGTACCTAAGTATATCGACGACATCGTCTAGTTTTATATTCACGTAGAGATTCGCGTTTCCACACGGGCTAACGTTAATCAGGTAAGTATCCAATCTCGAGACTCATCGCCACGGATAATTTTTATCATTGATCTCAATGCCAATATATTCAATAAAGTAGATGTCATTCATTAGAATACACTGTTTACGGCAAGATCCAAGTAGTAACACTATTAGCTAGGATATTGCCACTCCACGTCTGGCCGCTGGCCGTGTTCAAGGTGACATAGACATCATTGCTGAACGTGTTCTCAACTACGACGGTACGCGTGCCGTCCGGGTTCTTCGATGCGACCGACTGTACGCCCGAGTACCCGTCGTAACTATAGCTACCGGATCCGCTTAGGATAGTCGCACCTTTAGGGATGAACTTGGAGTACTGCGCCAACGTATAATAGTCGACGGTGAATTCGTACGTGCCTGCGTTCTGGTCTACCACGAATAGACCACGGCACGTCGCACACCCCCCTTGAATATACGGCCCAAAGGTGCCGTCGGCCGCCTCGGTCCACGTACCTAGAGTCCACATCAACGAACCCTCGGCCCAGTTCTGTAGCGGCCCAACCGTATTCTTAGAAGATTGGTACCACGACGTCTGCGGAGAAGTCCAGCATTCCGTCATATATTGGGATTTGCCGGGGTTTGCGTCGTGAAAGTCGCTAAGAACGGTCCAGTCTAGATTACCCGCGTAGCAGTGCCACGCGGCGGCTTGGACATACTCGCCGGCTCCGTCGATCACGGTCTGCGGATAGCTAGGCGTGTCCGTATTGTGATCGTATGCCCAGATCTGCGTGTTCAAGTTGGCCGCACGTAGGGCTGGCCCGATGTAGTCATGCGTCACTTTAGCAGCTTCGTCGGCAGTTTGATACATTGTTACGTGGCCGCCTCCTTGATTATTCAAAGGCTCATTCTGAATGGTAATGGCATCAATCGTGACACCTAGCCCTGCGTATGCTTGAAGATATTTCACAAAGTACTGAGCATATTGGCTGTAGTATTGCGAATCAAGCCAGTTGTTGTCGGCATTCCCGGTGAGAACCTATAACAACCCTGTGAGCGAAGATTGATTTACTATCTGGGCTTGGGAGACCCTTACCCTGTTCAGTTTCATCCAGCCCGGAGCACTCCACGAGCTCCCGAAGATAGTAGCATCGGAGCGGATACCTTTTATCTCGCTTAGCAATTTCGCCATCGCCGTTCCTCTATCTCCTAAGTTGAAGTTGCCAAGGCCCGGATCCGCATTACCGTTGCTATCATCGTACGTGTAGGCCGGCGGTCCTGATAAGTCCGATGCGGCAATAGTATGACGCAGTAAGCTGAAGCTGGCTCCGTCCGATGTAAATAACTCTCTTAGAAGCTGAGATCGCTTGTCATCGGAGAGTGCATCGATGACGGTGACAGTAGCGTCTGTCACAGAACCTCCAAAACCATTGATCTTCTGCTTGTACCCAGACTCCGTGTCATCAATGCTTAAACTCCATGTTGATGCATCCCCGGGGTTGCCATTACCAGAAACGGGAGCATCAACGGCGCTTAGTTTGTATTTGAGGTCCGATGAGGAAGCGTATGCTTGAGGTGATGCCTGGCCAGCCCTAATGGATATATGTGAAGAAGAGGCGAGCACCTGCCCAGAGAGAAGAGTGAAGATCCCAAGCAACATGCTGTCAGCGTAAGAGGTAGTTATCTCTGTTAAGTTCTATAACCACTCGCATAGTCCATGAGAAGAGCATGGGAATGGGAATCTTAAGTAGATCATTCACCACATCCGGTTTTCCTTTGCGAATCGCAACAATGAGACATCATCCCTGCGATGTAACCTGAAGGATAACTAGACTGCTCCTTTGGCGTCCCCATGTGGAGTGAGAAGCGAAGGCGTCAGGGGTCCTTATCCAGATCTAGTAGGTGGATATCGAGATCCCAGATCTGATGAATGACTCGTCCATCTGGGCGTCGGACAATTTAGAGAATGAGAATTTGATTTTATAAGTGTAATCGTAATTAGAAGATATCGTTTCTATAGCAAGTCCAAAGTATACGGAGGCGCTTCGTCAGTATCAACCCTTTCTACCAGGTACCTCTAGGTAGCTTACACGTTACATAGGTGCGTCAAATAAATATTGTGCTACCTATGTATGAGATTGGACGATGCGGCTGAGAGTAATTAGCCAATAGTTGAATGCTTAACGACTAAAAATAGATATGTATACCTAGTTAGGTACATTTTGAACTGGGGATGCCCATTACAAAGTTGGCTTCCTAAGACGCTAGATCGGGGGAATTCTCAACAAGTGATTGGTACTTAATATTCGGCATATGTCTATCTGCATTATGGCCCTCTAAGACCGAGCGGTGAGAGAATCATTTGAGTAGCCGTAAGAATCGCAACTAGTCTTTATTGTCTTAGCGTACAGACGATGCCACTCTACAACTACGTAGCATGCTGTCCGGGCCGACTCTCAATGGGACATTGTAGGTAATGTCATGGCTAGTTACCTGTTCGTCCCCACGATCTATGGCCGGTGTAGAATGTGCTTGCAACGCTGATTTGTCGGTTCGTATATCAAAGTGCACTTTCAGCTCGTTTAATCATTCAAAGGGGGGATTTCATTCAGAATATCGTGTCAAAAGTCGCTGCCTTAATTACCTAGGATTGCATTTATTCAGGAGAAGTTCCCTGCTAAAAGCAGAAAATGGAGGGTTTTAAGCCGTAATTTTAGAACCAAGAGCCACAAGACTGCCATGACTATTAGTATGCAAGGTGTAGGCGAGTTCTATAAATATTAATAAACTACCTGATAAACTAGTCCAAATAAGCCATTCCAAACAGCAAAGAGGCAACTCAAAATGAATAATGTGTATAGTTTCGAGAAACAACTATCGCGGCCGACTTACTGCCCACGTCGACTTGGTAAAAATATACATTCTATAGTTTAGTAGCCTAACATAATGCTTGACTCGAACACGGTCAACTCATCGACTTGTCACTTTGCTTTCCGGACTGAAAGAAAAGGTGTTAAATGATCATCATTTCAACTAGCATGATGAATTCAGCTACTATATCCAATGAATTTTTAGCAACATCATCGACAAGGTCCCATTTCCTATTTTCTAGGTATATCTTATAGCCAACCTCGAATACCACTCCCGTATATATGATTCTACCTGATAAGGAATTGAGGGGCGCACAGACCACTAACTCACAAAGTAATTAAGATCCATATTTATCTTCACGAACGGAATTACAGGCAACAGTGACTCAGGCACTCATTGTACATAGTAATGAGGCGTTGCTGCCTGCGTATCTACGCATATATAAACAATAGCTAAATCCTAATCCTGTAATCCTAACAATACCTAACCAATACAACAACGATGTCACCACTTATCTAGGGAATCACAATATTCCGTTGTGAGGTTCTACCTAATCAACATAGTTATTGTGGAAGCTTTACGTTTATCGTTCTTTCGTTCCATCTTCATCTCTTCTACCGTACTATTTCGAGCCATGTCTTAAGTTAAATTTCCATTACCTCCTCTTATACCTGCAACGAATAAGGGGATAATAGAAAGCAGCAGAATTACCATCCGACACCCTGGGTATAATATTGCGTACCCACCCCTATTACGGTTCCTTAAATTTGGTAATGAAGGTGTTGATTACGACTTGGTTTACTATACTGCCTGTATCATAGCAGGCAACGTATGGTCCGATAATCCTGCTCCTTATTTAACTAAAGAAAGAAATCGTAACTCGGCACGCATAATCCGTCCAGATGACGGTATTCTCCGCGATAATCAATACTACTTTCACGTACCTAAATGCGAAACGCGTTAGTCTTTACTATAAATACCTATTTACAAATCTTTATTAACTTGATATCAACTTGATATTAGGCAAATATCCTGTTACGCTTTCTTTTAGTGACTGGGTATTTCCCCACGATGATGTTCCTCAAATATGGCGCGATTTAGTTGTCAACCAACTTCCTTTAGAAATACGACAACGACTTCTATCGATATTTCGCGAAGCCATCATTACCCGCGACGGTTCTTGCCGAATAACCCAATCTATTACTGCTCTTAAAAAAGCCCACGTTGTACCTTTTGCTGAAGCCGACTGGTTCACAAAGAATGAAATGGATCGATATAATATAAGTCTTTTGAGGAGTAGGTTGATGATTAATGACGTTGGTAATCTTTTCGCGTTACGCGGAGATATCCGTTAGCAGTTTAATCAGAAATACTTTACTGCAATATTAAAGATTGTTGGTAACGAATATAAGCTGGTAGGTTAGATGCTTTAAGGGAATTAAGTATATTTGCGCGAGCAAGAATACCTATTCCATAATCGGCTATTCTAACAGTTGAATAATATCCTTAAAGAGTACTTATTTGCTCGTTTTGCTTGGTTAATCTTCAACAGTACTACCTTATCCTTCCTTCCCACGAATAAACGTCCTGTAGCTGTCAGATTCCGCCTGGAGGCGGAATCTGACGAGGAATCTGAAGAGTAAGAGATTGAACATCCTCCCGTCAAGCTTCTTGTTGAAAAAATATCGTCTATGGCTGCCCTTCCTGATTTACGCCAAGGGTTACCCCCCGGCTCGGGGGAGGGGGAGGGGCAACATGACGATGATGTAGATCTGTTTTGGTCTATTGAAGAAGAGAAGCTGGTACACGTCAATCAGATTGATTACCCGTTCGGTGAGCCTGATTATGACAAACCCATAATGTGTAATTCTAAATCCGAGGACGACTCCGCTATCTCAATTCCTCGTTAGTCTCGGCAGTAGTTTCAAGAGTGAAAGCAGTAGCTTGGGGAGAAAGAACAGTTTGATAGTCGTTTGGGGGGGAAGGGAAAGCAGTGGAAACTCGCAGAGCGGGTTATGTGAAGTATACAGATTGGCGGACTTCGTCCTGGTCCTGTCACCTCAACTCGTTGCTATTCTTACATAAATTAAATATTTCTTGGTTTTGGTCGTTTCGTATTTCATGTCTTGATGCTAATTGAGACGACTTTGATATAAAAAATTATGAAGTATTAACAACTCGATATACTCACGCCGACGTAATCAAAAATAAATAGGAACATGCGGATAACTAAAAGTTGCTTCGATGTTGTGAGATATTTCAGTGACCTAAGGAGCGTAGGGGCGGCGTCGAGGGTGTCGTTTCTTGGTTTTATGAACAATTCCACATAGTCACTTAAGTAGACAGACTTATTATCTTACTCTTATAACAAATCTTCCAAAATCTTGCACACCGAGTCAAACCTCGTATCTTCTGCTGTTTTTGGAATCTGATATTATGTACCGAATAGTAGTATGTGCATATCGAACCTATATTAAATAGGTACCCAAGGTATATAAGTGAACATTCATGTCTCATTCCGCCATCACTCATTAGGGCCACTTGCTAGTAGCTTTGAAAATTTACCTTCCTTCTTCCATTTATGACTTGCAGATTACTCTTCCTTATCAGCCTCTGCCTCAGTCTCATCGTCGTCTTCGAGCCCCCAGTCTGTAAACTCCGTACCACGAATCCAGCTGAGCCCTTTCCGCACTCGACTCTCGCGAATGGCCCGCGCGTCCCTTTCGTACACGGCGCCCGTGATAGCAAGCGCCAGGACGAATACCCACACGTCTCCTCCCTTCATGGCGCGCCACCAGCGACGCTTGACGCCCACCTTCCACAACGAATCCACGCTCGCTCGTGCGCTGTATAAGAACACGCCCCGGCCCTCCTTGCGTTCTACCCAAGCCCAGAGACCTGCTAAGAATCCGCCCAAGAAGAACCGCTGGGTCGGAAGGAACGTGCGCGGGAACCAAGATTGGAAGAAGCAAATGCTAGCCCATGCTGTGGAGATTGCACCTGTAGCGAATGTCGAAACACGGAGTACCCTTGATAATAGGCGGTTCAAGAGGTATAGCGGCGAGTTGTACAGAAGTTTGTAGCGTGGCAACATGAGTACGGAGTAGAAGAGAAGGAAGAAGCGACCCATACGCGGAAACGAGCGTACCCAGAAGGCGAGATAAGTGCGGAGGCACGAAGGGTCCGAAGGATGTAGGGTAGCGCAGCTGAGAGAAGTGATGAGAGGGTGGGCTTGCGAGGTTAAAGGAGCAACTGCGGTTAGAGATGGAGGTAGGGTTGGTTGGTCGGGGAATAAGGTCGGTGAGACGAACGGCCTAGAAAACTATTAGCATCTTTCGTCATCGGATAACGGTAGAGTATTATGTAGCATACGGCCAATTAAGTTTAGCCATCCGGGCCAGGCTGTCAGTAATCTCCCACACGTCTGGCCATCTGATGCCAGCGGGGAGATTCTCTGGGGCCTTGTGGAGGTAGGTGGAGGTATTCTTCCAAATGAAGTCGACGAGGCCGACCGGAGAAGATTCTCGGTCGAAGACGACGGCGTGTAAGAGCTGCCCGAAAGCAAAGGGCTGAAGCATCCAGCTTCCCCACCACCACGGCCGCTCTCGTTTGACGACGCCTTTCCCACCAGCTCGGGTCTTCCAGCCCCATATCATACCCTGATCCTCGCACAAATTCCAGCCAAATTCGAGAGCGCGGAAAATGGCTGCGATGGCCAATGTCACTCGTAGCTGCTGCGAGGGATATATGCCCAGAGCTAGCCCGGCCAAGCTGGCCCCAACTGCTGGGGCGTATGGCGATGTCAATGTCTGGTACGTCTTCGGATTACGATTACGGAATGGCGCTGCTGATGCGTCTAGTAGGTGGGCTCGCAATCGGCTTAGGAAGCGGAATAGGAGGCGATAGAGGAGTAAGATGGTAGATAGAGACAGCGACAGTCGAAGGCCAGAAGACTTATAGAATGGTTGTTTCCTTGACGTAGCCGCTCTAAACACAGGTTAGCATCAGATACGGTTGGGTCTTAAAGGTCATTTTAAGGGCATACCCTTTCTGTCCTTTTACCCTTGCTAATATAGCCTCGTAGGCTCTCATCCCTAATCCGGTTGCGACGAAGACGCGTAAAACATCCCTGATGGTACGCGCATTATACGTATCTCCCCTGCTGATGCTTCTGTTTGCAGCCTTCTCTTTTCCTTTACCTCTACCCGCATCGTGGCCTGATACGGATGCTCTCCTACCGCCATCCATATACTTCTCGACGGTATTCACACTCGGCATTCTCTTCCTTAGGAGACGCGATCGCGATAGAACATATTTGTGGAGTGTCTCATACTCGCGAGCCGAGATGGTATATCGTAATGCATTACGAAGAACGGGGTCAACTGCCGATCTGGGTTTTGGTTTCGAATTTGCTCTAGGTCGAGAGACAACGTCAGGATGGTTCGGAATCTCGAGAGGAGAGAGGATAGGAAGCCTAGAAGGACCGGCTTCGGATGCCATGGTGCTTGGGTCAGTGGCTTGGGTACCCGTGGGCGGTATTATCGGGATATTAGTGCCCAACGAGAATTCGGGTTGTAGAGTCGATTAATTATTAAGTTACAAAAGATTGGCTGGTCGGTGTTCGTGTTTATTTGCAGAATCTGCAGAAGACGTGCAGGGAACCTTTTTTCAGCTCAACGTGTGAGTCGCCGAACCATTTCAATTCAGCTGCTGCAATACGACGTCGTGCTCGCTAGGCTTGACCTCACGGCGAGACCAAGAGAATTATCAGTGGATGATAACCCCGTTGAAGAAACAGTAGTGGTTGGGCATGCCACAAGTCGAACGATACGGACAAACATTGATAGGCGTCTTGTGGTTGATGGTGTTAATAGAGTATGGAGGTTATTGCAAAAGAGGACAATGGAATTGGAAGTTGTATTGCCCTCGTCTGGCATGAAAAGCATGAAAAGTTCTAGGGAATAAGATTAATTGTATTGTACAGTACATAGGTACCTATGTACATTATGTTAGGTACTAAGGTAGGTACGCTTTATGTGTGGAGGGCACTGTCCCACTACGTAAGATTAGATGGTACCGAACGCTACCTCCTAGTATGTATTCCGTACCTCGGCTCAGCTAGCATGTGAGCTGTCTTGGCTGTTGTGGGGTAAACAGCTAGCCGCTTCGGGGTATTTATGCCACTAGTGGGGGTTTATTAACGAGGGAGATGGCTACGTACCTAGGTACACTAGCGTAACACCACCATCGTCATCGTCATCGTTGATAATGCATGAAATATAAAATAGAATATGCATTGGTTTACCTTACCGAAACGAGGCTATTGTACCCCTTTCATTAAATATCTTTTACGTTAAAGGGGAGATGACTAACAGCATAGTTAGTATACACTATTTCTATAGTAGTGCGGATCCGTACACTATGTTTAAGATATGAGTCGGATTTATAAGACAACATATTTCATGCGTACCTGTAACACCATCTAACAATAGTGTATTTTCAAGTTCGTCTTACGGCAGGTAATTGTACAAATAAATGGCGCTTATAGGTAATTGGTAACGCAACTCATAAAAGCCCGATTCGTTATACCCAATGTTTTATATAATTCATATAATTCCTTAATACAGATTAACCTGCCGGGTATATCATATGCCATGTCTACTCTACTTTTATCTAAGCCCATAAAGCCTTTCTTTAAAGAACTTCATTCCAACACTGTACTTTAGTTCTCTCGGCTCTCTAGGCTACACCCTTGGTCTTATCGCTACCATCACTTGGCTCCGGCACGGCTTCTACGCCCTCAACCTTGCCCTCCAGTCCTTCTACGTCCACATGCGGCCCTGTATAGTTCTTGCGCCCATCAAATATCCATGTGACTCCGGCGATCAACAAGATCACACCAAACGCCACGATACAGTAGTTCATGTTTTCGCTCGTGACGGGTATCTCGGGTGGGAAGACGAATAGTACTGTCGTCAGGATCGTCCAGCCTATGCCGATCTGTTTGATTCACCCATTTGTGTTAGTTTACATAATTGCCATGGTAGAATAAGCTAGGTAGGTATTTATGTGAAGAACATAGTGCTATAAGAAACTCACCAGATTCAAAATCCAGCCCACTGCTCCCGACAGCTTGAACGCTCGATTTTCTGGTAGCATTCTTCGCCCGCGGAGTACATTGATAGAGGGCGGGATGGCATACGTAACGCCGAGAGCGACAACAGAGGCCGATGTAATAGCGTTAAACGTGCTGGTAGACCCGAGGAAGATACAACCGAATACCACCACCCAAGCGGCAGTCCACAGTAGCGCGTTCAGCGGAACATCTAGACGTGGATGCACTTGCGCCAAGATTCTGCTGAACGGGAGTCCGCGATCTCTCGCGAATGCGTATGACATGCGGCTGCTTGTCGTCATCAGCGTCGTGGTCGTGAACAACATACACACAAGCGGGAACATTAGTAGGCATACGCTGCCTGCCGGGCTGCGTGTCGCGTCCATGAATATCTGGAGCAACGGTCCCGCACTTGACTCGATCACCGCCTCGATATCGTTTACGCAGAAGAGCAGGCAGCTCAGGAATATGAAGCCGGTTACCACTTGAACGCTAGGTGTTAGTTACCAGTCCTCTAAATAGGGGTTAGGTATGTGATGTGATATTACGTACTGCCAATGCCAATACAAGCCAGCATGATGCGCGGACCCCTTACTTGGGGCTGCGGAATTTCTTCGATCATATGAGCCACGGCATCAAATCCCGTGAGTGCGAAGGCACCCTGCAGCAGTCCCAACAACCAGGCCATACCATCGGGCCAGCCCACCTCATTGATGAAGTCGCCGTACACGAACTTACCGCTCTGGTATTCAGGGGACGCGCAAGCTAAGATCGTGATACTGATCACCACAAACCCCGTCAAACTCCAGAAGAAGGCAGCCTTGGTGAACAGCGGTAGCAGACGCGTCGAGAAGGCATTGATGAAGAGCGCAATCAGCGTGAAGCCGATATAAATCAGAAACTGATGCCAGGACTCAGCCTGATAGTTTGGGTGCAGCAGCGCAATGATATTTATTATAAACGTACTGCCGAGCAAGCCTCCCGTAGCCGTCAGCGCAACCCAGCCGCTGACGTTGATCCAGCCCGTCGCATAGCTAATGCTGCGGCTCCAGTTCTTCCACGCAATAATGGCCGCCCAGTGATATTGCCCTCCGGCGGTCGGCCACGCGGAGAGAAACTCGGCGAGGGAGGCGGCAAGGCATAAGTTGCACACGCCGGCAACGAGAAGACCCCAAACTACGGCGCTAGGGCCGCCGGATGGTAAGGCTAGGGTGATGGAGGCGGCGAGGGCGGTCCAGGTGTTAAGGATAGCAAAAGCTAGTCCCAACATTGAGATCATAGAGAAGTTACGCTTGAGTTCCTGCTTGTGTCCTAAGTGCGCCAGCGCAGCAGCATCATCTTGAAGGACGATGCTGTGATTCGCGCTGCTGCGCCGCCGAGGTTGCTGTTGTTTAATCTCGTCCATTGTTGTTGTCGTTGTTGCTGATGTCGTAATACTTTTCGTATCATTCGTATCGCTTCTTATTTTTTTCTCTTATTCTTTTTCTATTTGATTAACCAAGCTGAGTTATAAATAAGATCATGTAAGCCAGTTACTTCGTATATTACCGAAGGTAACCGTATGAGGCGTTGTATAAGTATTTAAGTGTCAAGACTCAACATGACCGTACTATAAGCGAGAGTGTAAGCGGCGCGGCGTATGCTGCTATATACATATTACTCGAGCTGATGTGAAGAAAAAGAGAAAGAAGAAGAGTAAAGATGAAAAGAGCATAACGGGAATAAAAATGAATAAGACGTAGTAGGATCACTGATAATCTAGCTTTCCTACCCCTGCGTTAGTCCGTAGTCTTCAGTTCCCTCTTATCGGCATCCCTACTCGATCCTACAGTATTACATTATTCTCTTTGTCCGCCCGTTCGTCAACGCTGTGGGTCTTGGTAAGATATATTTACTAGATGTGGCACAGCAGCACGCGGATAGAAAAGCTTGAACCTTGGAGCCTCTACTTTTTGCAAGGACGATAGCTTAACTTGCAGATCTAAGCAGGGGTACTTCCCGTCTTGTTATTTCGCATTGGCTGGGAAGGATCCCTCGCCCGTTAGAATGCGACGTCATGATCTAGACTAAAATGATTAGGGTCTTTACATAATAAGGTTCCTCCAACGTCTTACCAGCTTACATAGACTTCCCCGCGCGAGGGGAACGCGCTAATATGTATGGGGAGACCGATAGGAAATGCGCTACTGTATCGACTATTATGAGGTAACTCTAAACATTATGTGACCAATCGTAGACTATCCCCTCCACTGTTTTAGTATTGATATATCAGGATTAACTAATCAAAGAAGATAAAATGGGTTTACGCTATCAGATTGGCTAATTGTATTTATTATAAAGGCATATTGCAATTAAATCCTACGGACTTTACCGATTACTGGGAGATGCTAATTTAAAAGATATGTTAGATAGCTCTTTAAATCGAGAGTTAAGGATACTATTATCTCGAAGAGTGTGCCGGGTTGAGCTTATACATGAGGTATAAAGAAACGTACCTACGACTTGAAACTCGAATAGTTACCTATTACACTGGGTATCGCACTTCTAGGTAAAGAATATATGTTAGTTAAGTTTAATAAAACATGTAGTGTTAGGTACACTAACACCAACGCTAGAGGTTGTCAGAAATTCATGGTTTGTTATTCCACTATTAACACTATAGGTCTCGAATATCATCATGTGAGTCAAAACACTTTTGGTTGATCTAAGGCTATCTGAAGACCCTATCAAGACACGACCCGGAAACAGTACCGTTCGTTAATCCCCTCTAGCCTATCCTTAATCTGCGCTTGGCCGCGCCACAACTCTCGACACTGTTCATCGTAATCGTGTACCCTAAGTAAAAGGTCTATGAAACCTACTAAAGCAATTCCCTCGGGATAGACAAATGTGAATCCACTCGCAATCCGCAATCCGCAACCCGCCAAACTCCGGGGCTTATGACACCATGCTCGAACAATACCGCAGAAACATCCATCTGCAAAGGGGGGAATGGGGTATTATGTGAAAAATGCCGATTTTTGCTCAACCCTATCTTTGCCGTCCTTAATCCTGTACTGTACTGTCTAACAACTTTCGTAACCCTCTCATCCGTTTACCCGCGCCCGCAAGGTATTCGTGACTAACCTAACGGGGCGAAAACATTCTTTTTTTTTTTTCAATGAAACCTCGATATGCCGTTGAGCCAAGGCGACCAGGAACCGTCAGGTATGCATGCATATGCAATACCAAGTCCCCTAGTCCGTCCTTGACTTAAGTATGTCCATGAAGAAAAGAGGTGGAAATCATACACCAGTAAACACCAACCGCAATGCCAACGAAAGACCAAACCGAAACAGTTGATACTAGAAAGTTGTTTTGTTATGTAACGTAGGAAAAACGTCATTCGTCGCGTACCAACGTATCAAACAATACTATCGTTCACACGTGAGCTCGTCGCATCATTCGTCGCGTACCAACGTACCAAACAATACTATCGTTCACACGTGAGCTCGTCGCATAGTGTGCCAATCGGTCAGCTAAACCATGGAATCGGGGACACTATACGATTGGGGTGGCAACTGCTGCTGCGGCGGCCCCGAGACGGCAGAGAACTGAGGGACCCATCTACGTACGATCCGAGGGACTTCGGCTCCTCTTGGCTGGATGACTTCTTCTTGCCAATTTAGGACATCCCAAGGTTCAACAATAGCGTAGCGTCGCTGTGCTGATAGCCGTTCCTGGATTCCCTGGGAGTTGGGAACAACTCCCGCACGAACTGCCTCAACTGCACGCATGCGTCTGGCCTCTCTCTCGGCTACGACATCGGCAACCGCGTGGTACCGGTCTTGGGCGGTGTTCCAGCCTGAGGCACCATCACTCTCGGAGGTGAGCACGACGCGGAGTTCTTGGAAGGGTAAATTCAACAAAATGCGCGAGAGGACCGGAGAGCATTTGGCAGGACCGCGCGAAAGGGGGGCGCCATCCTCAGGAAGAGCGGCCGGTAGGTCGCCAAATTTAATACTGGATAGACGACTGGGCTTCGCGTTGCTACGCATATTCGTGCCTCTAGCAATGGTAGGTGCCATGTTGCCCGTAGGCGAAATTGCGGCAGCAGGCGTCGCCGGGATACGGGATAGCTTCGGTGGGTCGGCTACCGAGTGATCAAGTTCAAAGTTCGGCGGGAACGCATTGATGAGAAAGTTCATCGTAGCCTGCAAGAGGAATCTAACATCTGGGCTGTATCCAAAATCGAGTTCGACATCTTGGTCGTTGTCGTAGTTGACATGTCGCTGGATGGTGCCCTCGAAGACGAAGCCTAGCGCTTCTTCGACAGTATCCCAAGTGATAAAATCGGCGGCCATGCGTAAGCCACACAGAAAGACATCGGGCATGTGCAGGAGATGTCCCGCGGCAGCGTAGCCCAAGCAGAACTCAAACCGATCGGTCTTACCGTCGGCAAAGTGCAGGCCACTGGCCGCGTCAGCCACCATGGCAGGGTTAAGCAGCGGGAAGAGATACAGCCGCCGTACGGCACTCCACCACGCATCAGAACGTAGGTACGGGTCGTCCGACGATACTGTGATAGTGTGAGAACCCAAATCCGTAGCACGAGCAGCCATAATGTGATGCTTGAGCGCTGGGCTACGAGCTAGGATGAGCTTATGGCCCGTGATCTTGACAGGGTGGTGTAGACACTTGGTGGACACCAGCTCCAAAACACAATCGGTTAGTTCGCCGCTGTCGAATTGATCTTGAAAGTACATGATGCTCTCTCTCAATCCTATATCGAAGAAACTAGGATCACGACCGAAAGGTTCAAGGGGCATGAAGGGTGGAAAGTGGGGAGCCGGATGCGGGTGACCGACGGGATGCTCATGATGAGTATGATTACTGTACGGAATGCCGTTCGGGGGAGGATAAGGGTGGATAGCTCCGTTTTCGACGCCGTTCGGTTCACCCGAGGCATGGGAGCCGTGAAGGCTATGGGGAGTCGAGATACCGAAGCGGCCAACGGTAGGCGAGAAAGGATCAAACGGAGGGTGCGGCATGGGGGCCGGTGCCTGTCCGTACGTGTCAATGCCGGATACGGGTACTATGTCGGGTCGAAACTGGGTATTAATCGGACCGGGAAAGCCGTTACTTCCGGAGGGAGCGTGGTGATGACCATTTGGCTGCGAGCGAATATGATTGTCGGTGTCGACAGCTACGGGCGGAGGCGGAGGTGGAGGAGGCATAAAACCTCCGGGAGGAGGCGCCGGTGATGGAGTATGAGAACCGGCAAACCCTCCAAATACGACACCTCCACCATTACTCATAGGGGGATAGTGCTGGTAGCGGTGTATGTGGGGCTGTCCGCGGATGATCGTAGAATCGGTGTGCTGGTCGGCAGATGGCTGATGCTGAGAGTGGGTCGACGGATGTTGAAGCAAATGATGGAAAGGCGGTTGCCGGTCAGAGAGGATTGTGGGCGAGGTTGCAGATCGGGGCTGCGAGACATGCTGAGGTGCATCGTGGGCGCCTATGAGCTGTAAGAGTTTGAAGTCGGATGGAGAGGGTGTTGCTTCGAGATGTGGGTTACCTTGACTGGTCTTGTCATTCGCCGAGGCGGAAGCGGAAGCGGAGCCGGATCCAGATTCAATAACAGATTCAGCGTCTGGCGCGAAGGTCGCAGAAGAAGGCGCATGACGAGGACCATTCCCATTGCCATTGCTTGTTCCGTTGACACCGTTGGCGGGCAGGGGGGCATCGGAACCCTTATTATCGCCATTATGCATGCCGTTGCTGAGGCTGACCGTGTTGGTGGGATGTTCGGGCTTCTCCACACTGGAGCCGTTAACTTGATTGTCAGAGGTCTTGGCTAACTGAGTAGCTTTTGTGTTGTCGGAGACGGGAACATGGTCAGCATGATCGATCAGAGCGGCCTCGAGGGACGAAGCGGGGATGCCGTTAGACGAAGAGGCAGTTGGGACACGTTTGTTCGATTTGTTGTTGGATTGCTTAGGCATCATAGGAAGAGGAATGGCAGGCAATACGACAGGTCGAATCGGCGCAGCTACGGACACCGGTTTCTTCGCATGGCTAGAGACGGCCTTTCCAGGCTTAGTCTGACTCTTATGAGGTGCCATGATGAAAGGGTAACGTATAGGTTCTCTCGCTAGCCTTTGTCGACGATGGCTTGTTATCGGCAGTCGGAGGCGATTCGGAAGAGAATCCCACAAGTTAGGAGAAGATGGAGGTAGGAATTAGGTGAAGCTGGTGAGCGCAGGAGGTCCGGGGTGTGCGTGGTGGGATGAGCAGGGTGTTAGGCATTCGATCGTGGCCATAGAACCAGGCCCAGAAAATTACGACTCAGCCGGAGCTCAAAGGTGTCATAAGATTTCATTACACCATACCAGAATCGATTCGGGGTCGATCCAGAGTCGATCCAAGGAGTTGGCGCAGTAAGACGGAGAGGAAGAGGAGAGATATAGAGGAGAAGAAATATGATGAGGGACTAGAATGGGTTCAATAGTGGAGAAGGGATAACAAGAAGATGCGAAAGTGACGAAGCAACCAAGATGGAAAAGTGGTGCTACTCAATCGTTCGTCTATGATGGGAAGAAAAAGGATTAGCTGGGAAACGATAAAAAAAGAAGACTGATTATGACTGTGGGTTGTCGATTCCTGGTATCTTTAGGATAGGCAGGATAGGTATCTGTGATCTGTTGATCTGTGATCTGTGATGAACGACGGATGGTGGTGGAGGAAGTTTGGGGGCAGCTCTATACCTAAGCAGCTTTGGCGGGGGGACGAAAAGTCCGAGAATTTTTTTTACTTTTTTTCTTTACTGACAACTGTCGGCGGCCGTTGCTCAGATCTTTGTGGAGCCAAGTAGGTGAATGGTACCTGCCTGCCCCGCGCTTTATGTTCAGGTTGCTCCCTTATTAGGTAAGTACTATGTAGCGTAACACATGCGGTGACCTCATACCCTATGCAAGTATTGTACCTACCCAATAAC